TATACGTCGCTCTAACGGATTGATTTGCAACAGGAAATATACATTTTGATTATTGATATTTGCCAAGAGTGTTTTGATACCTTTAACTTACCTCATCGCAGCCGCAGCACCCATTAACACCAACGGCCTCCTGCTGTATTACAAAACACAGGAATAGGAACAGGAAACTCAAACGTGACATCATCTGCAATTAAAAAAAGGTATTCAGGGTTCGACAGTTCCAATGCGTGAAATTTATTTAAGATAATGATCGTTTACCATTTCCAAGAAATTCTGGAAAATCCAGTACAAAAATAAATGGTACACGACTTTTTGGGTCGTTTCAAGGGAAAATTTCCCTGAACAACGGAACATCTCCATGGGAAGTCCAGTTTTCCAAACGGAATGTTCCAATCGGAAATTCGTGTTCCATTTCTTGAAAGCCATCCGTTTGATACCAGACAGAGTTTACCTTTCCGCTATTTTTCGGCAAATGAAACTGATTTGTAAAAAGGGTAAACGTGATTCCGGGACGAAATTTACCAGTCCGTGAACTCACTAACCTCTGCCATCAGGCGGTCCAAAAAACGCCTCTTCGCAGGTTATGACTAGACCGGTTTGCCCATGTAAATGTTTAAAAACCAGTGCGATCCTGGTTAGAAGTCACTTAACACATTTTCCAATCGGAAATTCGGCGTGTTCCATTTCTTGAAATCCATCTTTGATAAACATGATTCCAAGACGAAATTTACCTGTCCGTGAACTGACCGATCAGTGCCCATGTAAATGGTGAACAACCAATGCGATTTAAAAATCACTTAACACATTTTCTTAGTCACGGACGACCAAAAAAGGAAAGAAAAGCTAAATTCCGAAGGAGTGCATAATTTTACTTGCCGTAAGTCTACACGGCAATTGAAGACTTGCTCCGCGCGGTCCTTTTGAAAGAAGTAAACGATATTTCGAAAAGGCCTATTCCAAACTTTGGACGTTATAAAGTCTATAAAGAGCTAAAATGAGTCAAAGTGCCCCTTAGCTTGTGGGACCTTGTGGGATTGAAAACGGGATGAATTTTTCGACGCGGTTATACAGTCGAATCTCCACCGACGGTCACCAGACTCCAGAAAGGGCAACCTCTCTTCAACGGCCATCTTTTTGGGCGGACAGTCGATAAATTGACTCTTGTTTAAACCTCTCGTCAACGGATACACTCTTCTGTCCCTGAGGTGCCATTTTGGCCGTTTTGGAGAGGAGGGGTTCAACTGTAGTGTGTTTCTATTGCAAATAGAGTTTATCTTCCAGTATGAAACATATCTGATCACCAGTGAGGGACACTCAACGACGGTTTCCTAGTATGAAATGCATTGAAAACTGACACTTTTTAGGCTATCCAGAGGGTATCCAGAGTACTTTTCAGAAGCATTCTAAGCGGTGCTCTAAAATTTGCATCTTTTAGATCATCCTAGGGCAACTTGTGCCTTTCCCAAACGTTTTAGACGCAATTTAAATTTTTATGAAAGAAATATTGAATTTTTATGATCCCTCTTTCCATCGCATTTTCGAATTTGAAAATTTTAGGGTTTCTTTTTCTAACAAAAATAGCTTAACCTGGGGAGTGAAAGCGAAAATAAAGTTTAAAAACTTTAGAAAATCGCAGGAAATTTATTGGAAAAACTTCATAAATTGTACACAAATGGAACGGTCATGTACAAATTTTTCAGCCTTCCTCAAGATGTAGAAAATTCTATGCAATATTTTCTTCTCCCGCAAACAGATGTTTTACAGAAAATAGTCGTTTCGTGCCCCTGAATCACCTACCTTTTTGTTGCTTGGACGCTGAAACGTGATTTGAACTAAAGCTGCAGAAAAAAGATTGATTTTAAATACCAGAGTCTCAGCAGTAGTTTGAGGCACTTAATAATGTTTTCCGTGTCAGCTGTTAAAACATTTCATTTAAAATTAGGAATTGGCGTTCATCCTTTTCAAGGTAAACGTTTTTGTTGGAATAACTAGAAACAAGAATTAACCAATATATCCATGTCTGTGTTCTTTTTAAAGTTTTTTCGCAACTTTTTTACTCATTAACGTGACCTTTTTTTATTACAGGCATCAGTCATGGTGTAAAAGAAAATCCAAATTCATCAGAAAATACTGGCTGTTGTTTACAATATAAAAGCTGCTGTTAAACTAACTAATGATGTATATGTCATCTTTACCCAACTTTTAATTTGACAATCAGATTAAATTAAATTAAATAATACCTTTATTTACCCTCAACAGTGTTTAAAGCACAAGGCAATTCAGTGAGGTTAGGCAAATTTGCTAACCTTCCGTTGAGAAAACAGAAAATATTAAAATATCGAATCAAAAAGAAAAAACTTAAATGAGACTGCTTTAGCCGGTGGAATCGGGTAAAATTGAATGAACTGAATCTTCCTCGTCTTATTTAGGCCATTTTCTCATTAGCCGCAAAACTACCTCAGTTAGTTCGTTATTATCGGGGTAATAGATACTACCACTTTAAGTTAAATCAGATTGAATCACTTTTTATAACCGTAGTTTATTTACCTTTGCCAGCGTTCATGCAGCACAAGGCTATGGGGGTAATGCAAGTCAATTTTGTTAATCATCTTTATTCCGTTGTGTGTATAAAATTTATCCAAATTTGAGAAAATAGTATTTAAAACAATACGAAAGACTAGCGAGGGACATTCACAACACAGTAAAGCTCTATTCAAGGTTAGATCCCAGCTACTTCCGCAAGAAAAGGCAAAAAATTTTCATGTATTAATTATAATAATAATAATAATAATAATAATAATAATAATAGAAAATTTTTTTAAACAATCTAAGCTGCTGCTAGTTGTGTAAATATTTAATATTTTATACAATGATGTGAATGCTTCGCGCGCTGTGATTGGTCGTTGTCCATGATCAATCAGAGTACAGGCGCATGGATGACATCACGGGAAACTTGTTTTCTTTGTTTTGTTCAACATGGCACGTGGTTCTGAACTGATGCAATCAGGGTAAATTAAATTTAAGGAAGGCACTTATTATAAAAATTAATAAAGAAACGCAATTTCTTAGATATAAATTGATGTGAGATAATTGATAGGATACTATAAAGAAAAATTTCATAAAAGAGTCGAAAAAGAAATAAAATAAAAGTGGCAAGTCATTTGAAAGTGAACAAGTCGATGCTTAAATAAATATTGTCCAAAGTTTAATTTTAATCAATCTCGAAAGTTCTTAGTCACTATTAATAGTTAGAAGTGTCTTCAAAGTATAAACATTCTTCGTGTCAAATAAAGGGGAAATAGGAGTCGTAATCTTCTGCCGGGTTGTCATGACATCGCTCGTTAATTATAAGCTAGAAATCTAAAAATGCAATCTAATCCGTAGCGCTATAAAATATGCAACTGTTCGCGGTCATCCTAGGGCACTCTCGTTTATTACTTGAATAGGCCACTTCCGAGTTACAAAAACCCTCACTTTCCAAATGAGGCCAAGTGCTGTCCGGACAACCTTTCTTGTCGAAATAACTTTTATTTGCATGAGAATGACAACCATTTCCATATCATGAAGGCTGTGCAAAACCTCTTTTTGATACTGAAGCCCGGGAAACTCGGAAATAGCCTATAGAAAACGAGATATATTTCGTGTAGACATACATCACGGATACTGAATAAAGATAGTTGTGTGCTTTCTTTAATGGGAGTTTTAGTTGTAGTTTCGCGACTAGCTTTACTGCGCTTTTCACAAACATGCGAACTCTTAAGTTCAAAGGCCGCCTTCACAATTGGGTTTTTCGCTGCCGTCAATCATAATTACGACCACAAGCAACGAACCTTGAAACATAGAAACACACAAAACGGATCGAAATCCACCAATCGCAAATCACAAACCATGACCTTTTGAACCCGTTAAAGTAAAGTATTGTTTCCTAAGAGGTCCGTTAAGATGATTGACGGCAGCGAAAAACGCAATCGTCAGTTGGCTTTTGAACTTCAGAATTCGCATTTTTGTGAAAAGCGCAGTAATAGGGCATCCATATTATTTTCCCGAAAATTTATGATGTAATTTAACCCTTTAAGAAGGTAAGAATTTTCTGATGCGTCTCTCCATCATATTTTCGGCGAATCCCGAAAATTTTCGATTTCCCTTTTTCGCCAATAATAGCTAAACCTGGGGAGTGAAATGTGAAAATTTCAGTTCAGAAAATAATAGTTAATTTATTTGATAAGCGTCGAAAATCTAGGCTATGTTTGCTTCACCGAACAGATATTTCACAGAATTAATTGGCGGTCGTTGGGTGAAAACTGACCTTTGCGAGCGCATTCGGACTAAACAATCGCAAAACTGCTGCATGCTCCCACAAATATTTGTTGTGTTCTGGTGATAATGACGTCCGTTGTGTGTCGCTAATCAACGGATATTTTTGTTGCAATGGGTCTTCAAGAAGTAGGAGGCTCAAACACTATTTTAACAACTTTTATTTTTCTTTGTTCCCACCTGTTTCTTTAAGTTACAACAAACACTAAATAGCCTGTTTTTGTCTGACATTAATTTAACTTACATTTGCATCTAATCCGAAACCGACCAACTTTCCGAAATGTACTGAGCACTTGAAATTTAAGGTCGTTTTATTGAAATCGTTGCGAAAACTGAAACGCTAAAATTTCAGACGTTTTACCATAAAATAAGTCAAAACAAAAACAGAAGTTTGTGGCTACGTGGAATTAGCAGTCTAAAGGTGAGAAGGGAAAAGCCAACTCTTAGCGAATTCCAATGGCGGTGGCGCGAAAGCCAAACTTGCGCCAAGGGTTACTGGAGGTGTAGGTTCCACAGCCTCCAAAATGCAGCTCTGTCAAGAAGAAGAACTCGTTCGGCATGGTGCGACCAGGAATGGAAATTGCTTTGGAGCGCCAGTCTACCGCCACGCGGCTTGTTTCAAAGATATGCCAGCTAGCACCATAGTTACTGGGAGTTTGCCGATTGTGGTTTGGCATGAATGCAAATTAGCTGTTGGGATTGGCATCGCAATTTCTGAACTGGATTATGTGCCCGTTGGATGTGAAACCTTGGATACTACGGCGACGTGCAGCATGTGCTGGAATAATACCGAGAAGGATGTACTCTTTCATGAAGGCGTTCAGCGGTCTGGTGTAACCATGGAATCTGTTGACTAACAACCCAAACTCTGTGTTGGCGAAATGCGGATGAGGCTGGATCAGAATGTATGACTCGCTACCACTTCTCTTCTTCAACTTCAGCAGGACATTGTACCTGTCTCGAAATAAAGCTCTGACAATCCTGCTCGCTGATGATGTTCTTGTAAGGCTGCGGGGAAGAAAGGTGAAGCCACCCCCACCGATTGTCATTTCGCAGTGCACACGAATGGGTTGGGTGTTTGGACCGAGCGGTTGTATGTAATACATTCCACTTGGTGCGTTCTGAAAACGAAGGCTGTAGCAGTCTGGGGGATACCACCATCCATGAACACTATTTGCTTCCCACTGTATGAGGGTACAGAGAACGATGAGGACTTTCAAGGACCACATCCTGTAATTATATAAAAGTAGTTATAATTAGGTTGTGAATCTAAACATTTAAGGTCAATACAACCAGGCTCATGGGCTGCTGTCACAAACAAACGGTGAATTCGCCATTTCTTTCTAACAACTCATGGCAAATCTATTTTTTTACCTTTAGCCGCAAATATCGATTGTCCGTGAGTGACCGAGAAAACGTCAAAAATCTGCAAATAGAAGAAAGAAATGTTTGAATTAACAATTATAACATTTTCTCAAATCTTCCTGACCTGCGAGATAAGGCGCATATAGGGCATAATCAGAAGGTTGAATCTTCCCATTACTTAGCTCGACGATGTGTTCGAAACCTCTTCGGAGACGACTGATTCATCGTGATAAATGTTACCCATATTTATGCCAGGACTTCTGCCGAAGCGGTGATAAAAGCTCAAAGTTTTTTGAACAGCATGTCTTTTGTCCTGTTAATACTTCCTGCAATTAATACTGATTATAATGATTTTATCTTAACCGAAATGTAAATAAAACTTAAAGTTTATTCTAAATGTCACAGGCGTTGTAGCATGATGGTTATGAGCAGCAATTGGGAAAATCCGTCATTTGAAATCTTACCAATGTACAATACTCGTCACAAATCTTTGAATTAGAGGCAAAATCTCCCTAAATCATTCCTAAATGTTCTAAATGATCCTGTCACCTTCTCAATGTTGACCCACCCGTATTTTGTCAGAGCAGTGAGATGACTGTGATACCCGAAACAACATTGAGGAAAGAAAACCGACACAAGCGGTTTCAAGAAATTTGACGAGAGTTGACCGCGCCTCGCGTAATGGCCCAAGAGGCTGTATGTAGTACATCCCACTTGGTGCGTTCCAATAACGAAGGCTGTAGAAGTCTGGGGGCTACCACCATCCATGAACACTCTTTGTTTCCCATTGTATGAGGGTGCAGAGAACGACAAGGAATCTTACGGAACACATCCAGCAATTAAATAAAAGTAGTTATAATTAAGTTGGAAATCTAAATATTAAACTTCAATACAACCAAATTGTGACTTCGCCATTTCTTTCTAACAATTCTTGACAAAATCTATTTACCTTTAGCTTCGAGGTAAGCTCGAATATCGATTGTCTGAGGGTAGAGAAAACGCGTGAAAACTTATTATAGTAAGGAATCTGCCAATAAAGGAATGAATTTTTAAATTAACAGTCACATTTCCCCAATTCTTCCTTAACTTCGAGATAACTGATAAGGCGTCTGCATAGAGTCACGGGGCATGATCGCAGTGTAAAATCTTCCCTTAATTAGATCTTTACCCGCCTCAGTTCTCCGACGTAGCTCTACGGTGTGTTCGAAACCTCTTTGAAGAATAAAGACTGATTTATCGTGAGAAATGTTGCGGATATTTATGCCTTTACTTCCCCCAAAGCTCTGTATGTCACAGCTCAAAGACTTTTTTACATGTCTTTTTCCTGTTAATACCCACCCCCTTGTACAATACTCGTCCCAAATCGTTGAAACCGAGATACAAAATCTCTAGAATTTTTCGAAATTTTCACCACAATGACTTACAGCTCCGTAAGAAACTTCGTTCCTAAATAATTCCTAAATGTTCTTAATATTCTCACCCAAATGTCCCTATCACCTTCTCCAATGTTGACCCACCCGTATTTCGTCAGGCGACTGTGATACTTGAAACAATATTGGGGAAAGACAAACGACACAAGTGTTTCAAGAAATTTGACGACAGTTGACCCCTCGAAAAAATGGCCTTTTTGTTCAGAGAACAAATTATGTCATCACCATTTGATGTCTTTGTATTTTCTTCACTTCCCAAAATTAATCTGTATTTACATTTTTTAAACCAACACTCGTAAAGCCACCGTATAAAAATCTATCGCTAATCTTTAGTTTCTCTTATAGTTTCATATACGAATTTCAACTTTTTAAAATATTTTAGTTTTTTACGACTAAATTAGCATTGTTTCACAAAAAGCTGCCTTAAATGGATAGTAATTCCTTTGTGTTTCATGTCTGTACATACTGTTTTCCAAAAGTAGGCTAACGAAACAGTTGGTTGACAGAGACTGAAAAGGGAAAGAAATTGGACGTGGAAAAAAATGGATAAACGTAATGTTAACAGTGAGAATTTGTAGACGAGTATGTAATTCCATTTCAAATCTACATACGGTAATTATACAGCTGCAGTGAAGTTAGATACAGTTTCACCCACGATAACTTAGCCGAATAGCAATAGATACTGTAATAGATAAAACCCCGAATGACAAAATTTAGTTCCTACTTTAAGAAATCGAATTAAACGTAAACAGGTATTTTCGTGAATGCCAAACCCTGCTTAGAGTTGACATGGAAATGAGTCAATTAATTTTGGCCTTTGTTTAATAAACTTGGGCCTTAAAAAAGAAATTAAGGTGTGCTGTTCAATTATTAACATAAAACGTTTCTTTCGGTTCAGTACAGCTAGAACATGGGGGAGTTATGGGCGTAGGATTACTTCGCCTTTTGGCGTTTTGAAGCCCATTTGTAGCTCGCAATACAGCTACCAAGAGTGGAGAAGTTTCATTCAGAGCCATTTTAATTTACGCTGTTAGTTGACGCGGATTTCCGTTAAAAGCATATTTTACTGAGCTCTACGAACTGTATGACTCACCAACAAGTTTAAGAAGAGCTTGAGTTTTGCATCTCACTTACCTTTTTACTGAATCAGAACTTTTTATATTACGTGAAATAAGCTGAGATAGAAATGAGACAAAAGAGGAAAATATTGATTTGAACACGAAAATCTCAGCATTCCAACTTGACACATCACACACATGTCTTGAGTGGGAACTCTTTCCTTGAGAAATCTGTGGTAATGATTGACAAGTGCTACCGGTGGCAAATTTTACCAATACCACTTAATTCCTTAAGCTACCAACATTCTCGGTTTTCTTCAATTGGAGCGATTACAAACGACATCCCTGCCCTGAAATCCTCGCTTAAGTGATGGGCTTGATTTGCAGAGTGGATCGGCGTCTCTGTAAAGCCCTCTAGGGACCTTACGATCCGACAACGCTGACGTCCATGACCGTCGCTAAAAAATAAACTTCGCATCCTTTCACTTTTTTTCGCGATTATTCTAAGGGTGCAGTTTCTTAAAAGAGGGAAATTTTGGTTGGAACTGAAGAGAAGGGACCGCGGCCTAGTTCAAACACAGGTGGTAGAATTTATCGCCTTGCCGTTCCCGTTCCCAAATAAACTTAATTGAAGGATAATACAGAAAATACAAAATTTCACGCAGTGCATAAATCTGCTACTCCTAATTAATAAACCCGCCAGTAAGCTTTTTTACCAACTTTATTCCCGTGTATTCACAAGTTGATAGTACACGAAAGCACACTTGTGTATCATGCTGCCCGCTTCTCCCTCGCTTTTGTTCGGAGGTTAATTGGATTCATTTTTTCCGTGACAATTTTTAATTTCGAAGTTGACAGGTTGGTAAGAAAGTATGATTATCTTTTGAATAAACAATGGTAGAGTTTTATATTTCAATGATTGTAAATAGCTATGTAACTAACTCATCTATCTCTAATTTCGCGACTTTTCAGTGATCATGCGCATCATGAGGAAATGGATCCAACGCTTCACCGCCGAGAAACGTCTGATTGGTCGACGCGCGACCACGTGACATTGCCAAATTAAAAATAGCGGCAATACCTCCATCGTTTGTTTATTCCAGTGGAAAGAAGATTAATTGCGGCTTAATATGGGTTGCAAATGCATATGCGGATATTTTTAGAATAGCCTAGACTTTTTATCATCCTTTTTCACCTATTCCTACAGGAAAAATACCCTGTTCATCTCCTTCCAGGATCCAATTTTGAAGCAAAGAAGCATCCCCCATAGAAGGCGTTGTGTGCAAAACTTTAGTGCTAAAANCGATCGACGGCATAATAACTCTAAAATACAAGTCTAATAACATATTCTTTGGAAGAAATTTGCTACGTTTTAACAAGTTTAACTTATCAACAAAGCCTTTTTTAACAACACTAACATGTTTAGACCAGTTTAGTTGATCATCTATCAATACGCCTAATAGACGAGAGTGTGTAACCCATTTGATGGTGTGCTGGGCCAACGTTAACTCTTTCAATGGGCCAGTGAATCTTCCACGATGGAGGATCATTGCTTCGCATTTCTTTGGATGAGGCACAAAAGAGTTTGTTTTGCACCAGTATAGAAGCTCTTCCAAAGCTTTGTTAAGTTCAGAAATTACTGCGTCGATAGAATCGCCAATGCAATAAAATACACGCTAAGTCATATTTTAAACAAAACAAAGCCCAAATATGTCTGTCCCTCTCCTTTTTTTTGTTGAATCCGTGAGAACAAACTTGATCTAAACAACAAAAACATTTTGGATAGCGTTGTAATACGCTCTTCGATCAACAGTCGAATGTTATCGAATGTTAGATTCACAATCAAAGTCGAATTTTGACACAAAAACGGGATGCACATTTATCAAAACTGTCGCTTCCGTGCAACTCGGTACAAGCTAATTTATATACCAAAAGAAAGCCCAATAATTTTTCTTCCACTACTTTATAATTTCTTTTTGTACCGAGTTGCACGGAACATGCAGTAAACAAAAAGAGCAAAAATTACTCACCTTTTCGGCATGTCTTTCACATGCAAACCAGCGATCTCAACGTCAATAACACTGGATCAGACCATGCCAATCCGATTTTTCGCCAGTTTCAGGACGCTGTATTCTCTAGAGAACACACTTACGTCAAAACTTTGACCAAAAAAATTTTTGATCTCTTACAATGGTAAGAAACTTGCAACGCTGTCACTTCCAAAAAAAGCTGCCATCGCTACTTTCATCTGAACAACATTTCGCGGGCATTTTCGCCTCGGAGCTAATGACATTACCCGAAATAGATCACGTGTCATTTTTAGTAGAGCATGCGCAGACATTTTTCGCCGGTGAAGATCCAACGCACGTAACCAGCGTTCCGGTAAAGAGACAGCTATTAGCAAGGACCAGCCAGGCGTCCGTATTAAGGGAAGACTCTGAAAAATCATCAAGATAACGTGTTAAATCGATGTAGATACCAACACATATTTGATAGCAACAGAATGATGTTTTTATTATCTCAACTGAAAACGTCAGTACTATACAAACAGAGGAAGCCTTAGTTAGCTCGTTGAAGTCACGTCAAATAGCTTCCCTACTAGGTAAAAATAATGTTTGTTCAGTGTATAAATCGCGACAACCAAATCATTAACATTTTGAAAAACACTCCTTGACTTTGTTCAGTACTCTTTAGTACACTAGTTAGTGGTTCAGACAGACAGAGTTTATCAAATGAATATGTTGTTTTTTCGCACTGATAACTAGTGGGGGATGGCTCTCAGTACCTTTGAACGTGACCTCCTATTGTTGCATGATATTGATATTTAACAATTATTCCAAAAGTTGGCTATAATTGTCTCATATCTAATACGCACGAATGGAATAATTGTTTTATTAAAACGTCTGGTTATTACAACTGAATTTTAACAAATTTCATTTTAAGCATCACAAAACGACCGGATATTAATGTAACTTCCGGTAAACCAAGGGAAAATCACATGACATGTGACTAAGTTGAATGAAAAATCTGAAAAGGAAGGACGCTGTACTTAAATCATTCTCTCGACAAGTACAGTTTTCGCTCTCCCTCGCTGTGACTGTGGAATTCGACACTGGATAGGTCGACCTGATAACCCTTCACCCAGGAAAACGGGGCGGTCGATATGAACGTGGTTAATAGACATCAAACCCACTGGACCCGATAAGAAGGGTAAAAGAAAA